CTGAAGACGAATTACAGAGATTCAAGTCAACAATCATGGACTGCTGCCATCAATACTTGAATACAAAATCAAAAGTCCGCAACCACCTGACGAAGCGGCACCGAGAGGAATTAAAACAGTTGAGAGATAACAAAGATCTGCTTATAACTCGGCCCGACAAGGGTGCTGGTGTAGTGCTTCTGAATCGAAGAGACTACATCGAGAAAATGAACGATATACTGTCGAATGAAGATAAATTTTCCCAAGCTTCCAATGAAAGAAACAAGACGGAACAGATTGAGAAGCAGCTCACAGACGTCTTGAAGAGAATGAAGGCCAGTCAACTAATCAGTGGGGATATTTACGACCAGATCCGGCCAACAGGTTCAGTAATACCAAGACTTTATGGTCTACCAAAGGTACACAAGGTTGGTCTCCCACTTCGTCCAATTCTGGATATGTCAGGTTCCCCTTATCACTCTATTGCACAATGGCTAGCAGATATTCTGGAACCTGTAAGGAAGCAATTATGTACGCACTCACTCCGTGACACCTTCCAGTTCATCGAGTGCATACAAGACATGAATGTATCTAACAAAATTATGCTATCCTTCGACATCGAGTCACTTTTCACCAATGTCCCACTCACAGAAACGGTCTGCTTCATATGCAGATATATAGATGACAACCACCTCGATATTGGAATACCGACAACATACTTGAAAGAATTATTATTGAGATGCACTCTGAACGTCCAGTTCACATTCAACGACACCATCTACAGACAAAAGGATGGTATTGCAATGGGATCTCCGTTGGGTCCACTACTATCAGACTGCTTCGTGGCAAGCCTCGAGAGAGGTTCACTAAAGTCAAGCATCGACAATTTGCAACTGTATAAAAGATACGTGGATGACATTTTCATTATTTGTGACAACAACAACGACCCCAATCTACTGCTGAAGACATTTAACAATTGCCATCCAGCAATAAAATTCACTCTTGAAATGGAAAACGAGTCAAAAATTCCGTTTCTTGATGTGGAACTGACAAGAAGAGCTGATGGGAGCCTAAGAAGATCAATCCATAGAAAACCTACGTGGAATGGTCAACTAACAAGCTTCTATAGCTGGGTGCCCATTCAACAAAAGCGGAATTTAATTAAATCACTTGCTACCCGCATCCGACGCATCTGTAGTCCCGACGTTCTGGAAACAGAATTAGATATTCTGAGAGAAATATTCATCCAAAATGGTTACCCAATAAGATTTATCGACAAAAATATGAAACCAATAATTCGGAAAAACGAAACTTTGACTGCGCCTAAAAAGAAAATCTACATGAACTTGGATTTCAAGGGAGATTTAGCAAGCGATATTCTCAAGAGAAGGATCACATCATCTCTGAGAAGAACATTCTTTGCAGCAACGCTAAGAATAGTGTTCTCCAGTCGCCCACTAATCTGCAGAAGCCTCAAGGACAAGATCCCGCATCTGGCCACTTCTATGTGCATATACCAGTTCACCTGCTGCTGTGGAGCCAGGTACATCGGTCGTTCGACGCGCATCCTGTCCAAGAGGATTCAAGAACACTATCCAGCATGGTTGCGAAAAGGCAATACTGGTGCAATAAGGAGTGCGATAATTGAACACCTGGTCAGCACTGATCATTGCATTTCAACGAACGCCTCCTTCAAAGTAATCTACTGAGTCAAGAACAACATGTCAAAGGCAATACGGTTTCGTCTCCTTTGTATCGCTGAAGCTCTAGCCATTCACATGGAAAAACCGGAGCTGTGCATACAAAAGAAGATTACTCAACCACTTCTACTCTCATGGTAACAATGTTTTGATTTTTTGAGTTTTTATTTTATTTTGATAACTTAATTTTGTTTCTTTGCCTGTTCCTTAGTTGCTTATAATTCTTGTATTCACTTAGATCTCTTACATAGTTTCGTATTATCTACTTTGTTTCTATGTGCATCCTGAGTAAAACTCACTCATCAAAATATTCATATTATTATTGCATAACTTCTTTTAACAACTGTTTGTGACAACTCATCACCTTTGTTACTATCCTAGCACTTAATTGTCTTGACTTATATTACCAACCTTTACCTGTTTAGTTAAAATTAACCTTAACCGATTGTAGCTTTGTTTGACAAACTTAATGTACACATACATACAAAACAATGCATATATATTTGCGATTGTACAGCTAAGAAGATGAATTCGCCAAAAAGAGACTCTTCGCTGATCTACGTGTTTTGTTTTCATTAATGCCTGGATGGGGATTATCCATGAATTGAAACGTAGCTTCTATATGAAGTTGGTGGTGCGGCTTAAAGAGGCTACCTGGGGTGTTGGTTTCTGGCTCTCATCCTTATTTGTGGTTACAGAATATAAAGATGACTGACTAGTCTGCGGAAAAGTACTGACAGTAATGGGGAAACAAGATGATGAGGGTGATAGTGATAGAGGAGAATGATGATCAGGAGGGCTACATATGCTTTTGGAAGTGTATGGAAGATTGTTACTTCCGGGCTACCCACACCGTGGAAGTCGATTTTTCTCTAGGGGTACCTGGAATAAAAAGAGAATTAGTGTTGCACGACCACAGAGCCCAGAGGATAACTGCTTGAGACCAGTCACACCCGGTCTGTCTGAACTGGCTTTTTGGTTTAGTTGCAGAAACCTGAACAAAACAGGATTATAAAGAGACAGCCAGATACTATTCAAATGAAATCCCGTAGTATTATTGCATGGCAGTCATTATTGTTCCCTTGGGTTCCTAGTGGAACATAGGGCTTCAACTGCACGTCTCCACTTGCTTCTGTCTTCTGCTGTTCTTTTCACTTGTGTCCATGTTATTCCATACTGTTTCATCTCCTCCTCACACGATCTCCTCCATGTCACCCTTGGACGTCCCACTCGCCGCTTCCCTTTCGGGTTCCACTCGAGGGCTTGACGCGCGATGTCAATCAACGGCCTCCTCAGCGAGTGTCCAATCCATCTCCACTTCCTCCTGCATATTTGTTGGGCGATTGGTTCCTGTTTCGTTTGTTCCCATAGCTTCTTGTTTGTGATTCTTTCTGGCCATCTAATCTTCAGTATGGAGCGAAGACAGTTGTTGATAAAGGTCTGCAACCTGTTGAAAATATTCTTGGTGACCCGCCAAGTTTCTGATCCGTAAAGCAAAATTGACTTGACGTTTGTATTGAAAATCCGAATTTTGTTGTTGATGCTGAGTGACAGCGGAAGATTTCCAGATTGGTTTCAGGTTGATGAATGTGTTTCTCGCCTTCCCGATTCTCGATTTGACATCCTCGTCCGTTCCTCCTGTGGTTGAGACAATGCTCCCCAGATAAGTGAAAGAAGTAACCTCTTTCAAATCCCTCCCGTTGATGGTGATTGGCACTGGATGTTGCTGCTGTTGTTGGTTGGTTATTTTCATAACCTCCGTCTTGTCTATGTTCACCTGGAGTCCTGTCCTGTCTTTGCTGCTTCTTCGACCAGTTTGTCGGTTTTTGCTTGTAAGTCTTCGATTTTGTGTGACATCAAACATAAATCATCCGCAAAATCCAGGTCTTCTAGGTTCTTCAAGTCGGTCCAGGATATCCCTGTCTTCTCGTTTCCCACTGTCTGACGCATAATCCAGTCCACCACAATTAGGAATATCATTGGTGATAATAAGCACCCTTGTCTGACTCCTGTGTTTACTCCAAACGCTTCGCTGAGTTTTCCGTTGTGGATCACTTGACATGTGCCGTTGTCGTACAGTTGTTGAATAAGGTTGGTGACTATTTGCGGTACGCCGTAGTACTCGAGTAGTTTCCAAATTACTTCGCGGTCAACGCTGTCGAAGGCCTTCTCAAAGTCTATGAAGTTGAGGTAGAGATTTGATTGCCATTCCATGCTTTGTTCGATGATAATGCGTAGAGTTGCAATTTGGTCAGAACATGATTTGCCTTTCCTGAATCCAGCTTGTTCTGGTCGGAGTTCTGTATCCAGTGCGTCCTTGATTCTCTCCAGGATGATGCGACTCAGGATTTTACTTGGCGTCGACAGGAGCATGATTCCTCGCCAGTTCTTGCAGAGTCCCAGGTCGCCCTTCTTTGGTAGTTTCACCAGGTAACCTTTCCTCCAGTCAGTAGGCACCTTTCCCTCTTTCCAGATCTTTTGCAATAATGGAGTCAGCATATCTGCCGTCGTTTCTGGGTCCGCTTTCAGTGCTTCAGGGGGTATTCCATCTGGTCCAGCTGCTTTTCCAGCTTTCAGACGCTTGATTGCATTCATGACTTCAGTTTTCGTTGGAGGATTGGTGTCAACTTGCAGTTGTGTACGTGCTGTTGTTGGTATTACTGGACGGGTTGTAGGTGGTGGTCGGTTCAAGAGTCCTTTGAAGTGGTCCGCCCATTGTTTAATCTGTCTTTCTTCTTTGGTAATTGGGTTCCCTTGGCTGTCTTTTATAGGTTTCACTTGTGTTGATCTCTTCCCGGATAGAGACTTGGTTATCTGATATAGTGTCCTCAGGTACCTTTTGCCTGCTGCCTTCTCAGCTTCAGTAGCCAGGTTGTCGTAGAATTGTCTTTTGTCCTTCCTGGCACTCTTCGCATGGCAGTCAAGTCTCCATTAAATAAAAAACGCTTCAAGCATTTAGAAAATATGATACTGGCCCACGTAGCTCTTGACAACTGGTGGAAACGGTAGTAGGCTCTATAGTGGATGAACCAGAAAAGCAGTTTAACTGCTTTTTGTCAATATTTTGTCTACCCACTGAAACAGAATTTAGCCATTTGGACCATTGATTTGATTTTTTTGTTGAAATATGTGAGAACTTTGACTGCTTCACATATGCACCACATGAGCGGCCTATTTATTTTGGACAGATATAAATAACCTGCACATAGCTATTTTTACTGTTACTATGTGGATCTATTGAAACTCCATGCTGTTCTAAAAAAGTGAATCGTTTTTAGCAGAAATACACCCAAAAATGTTGTAAGCTTTTGAAAAACTCACATTTCTGGTTTCTGACACTTTCAACTTCTTCAACGCAGGTTTGGAAACTGAATTCCTCTGAAGATTTCTATGTTGGACAAAAAACGTTAAATAATTAATCAAATTTAAATAATACAATGAGAATAAATCAGCAAACCAGAAAGTATATATATATATATATATATACATCATAAAGTCAATGACAGTAAGGACATCAAACAAAATTCAAGCCAAATCAACGAAATGACATTGTGGCGAGTGCTACTGACAGGAGTTCATGAGTAGTATATTGGTGACATATTTTGTACGAATCTCATATGGCGAAAAGAAAGACAGGAGGAATTGATATAATTGGTAAGCAATATATAAAGTGTAAGATGAAGACAATAAAACAGGTTAAGAATAATCATTGGCGATAGTAGGCAGCCTTGTTTAACTCTCGTCTTTACTTCGAAGGATTCCGTAAGTTTCCCGTTGTGGATTACTTGGCATGCAGCGTTGTCGTACAACTGTTGGATGAGATGTCGGCTGCACCCCGTGGTAGCGAAGTAGTCGCCAAATCACCTCTCGATCGACACTGTCAAAGGCCTTTTCAAAGTTAATAAAGTTGAGATAGAGAGGTGATTGCGATTCTATGCTCTGTTCAATGATGATACGTAGTCTTTCGATTTGATTGATTCATGACTTGTTTCTCCTGAATCCAGCCTGTTACGATCGAAGATTTTCATCCAGGGTTTGTTTGATTCTCTCCAGGGTGATGCGGCTGAGTATTTTGCTTGGGATGGACAGGTGCATAATGCTGCCCCAGTTCTTGCATTGATTTAAGTCTCCTTTCTTTGGCAGTTTGAATAAGTAGCCTTTCTTTCAATCCTCTGGTACCCTGCCCTACTTCCACATCTTCTCCAGTAGTGGTGTCATCAAGTCCGCTGTTGTCGCCTGGTCCATTTTCAATGCTTCTGTGGGGATTTCATCTGGTCCTGGTGCTTTTCCAGCTTTTAGCATCTTGATTGCCTTTAGGACTTCTGTTCCCGTTGGGAAGTTAATGTTCACTGGTCGTTCTGCTTCCGTTTTTGCTATTGTTGGGTGCGTTGTAGGTGGCGGTCCATTTAGAAGTCTTTTGAAGTGTTCAGCCTAGTGTTTCCTTTGCTCCACCTCTTTGGTGATTGACTTTCCATTTTCATCCTTCACTGGCTTAATTTGTGTCAAACTTTTGCCCGACAGGTACCTAGTTGTTTGGTAGAGTGCTGCGAGGTCTCCTTTGCCTGCAGCTTGTTCTGCTTCACTTGCCATAGCTTCATAATATTTCCTTTTGTCTTCTCTGGCACTTTTCTTTACTCTTTTGTTCAGTGTATTGTAGCTTGCATTCAACTCCCGTTTTTTGTTGAACGAAGATGCATTGGATAATCTTTTGTTTCACCATCCTTCTCTCTTTTATTAGTCTCCAAGTGTCCGTAGTGAGCCACTGTTTGTCCTGTCTCTTCTTTCTGCCTAGAACTTCCATGCAGGTTTGACAGACAGCCCATACGCTTGCATAAGTACATAAAGTTTTCCTGGTAGTTAAAAATTCCGTTCCCTTTAAATGGATAACTTAAAGAGGACGCACATTAATGCCATGTTTTTATTTAATCATCCTGAACTCCCTAAAACTCAACTTTTGCACTACTCACTGAGGTGTGTTGATATGCGACGCTCAAACAGATTATAATGGGAATGATGAAGTCAGACATCCTCAATTTCATCTTGAAAACGAAATCTAGACATATTTGTTCGCTTAAGTACTCTTTGCAGTTTGCTTAAACATACTCGGACCTCACTTTTTAGTCCTATTGTCCATAGCACCATGGGAATAGTAGAATAAGTTTACAATAATTCAGCTTACATATATGACGCCTAGTCATAATCAATCGCTCAACAAATCCCACAACTTGTTCCTTTCACTTAAGCTTGATCAAATTTACAACCATACCAAGTGGAGATGGAGTTTAAAGATGACTGACAAACCGGACGTTTGAGAAGCAATCAAGACTTATTATCTGACATAACTAAACACGTAGTACTTTGTCTTCCAGTTACAATTATCGTTTGAGGCCTTCAAATACAAACTTAACATTATATTTAACCAATTGGTTACATGATACTTACATAACTGCTCCTATACCTCACAAGTAACTCACACGGTATAAGTGTGAAAATGGTCAACAGTAAATATATAACATACAAAACAAACATGAAAACAATATTTAAAATATTAAATGAGCATTTAAAAACAGTTTATGTTTAATAACATACCTTTCAGTTTTTGTATTACGTTTATCCTTAAGTGAAGAAGCCACTTTCAACTGATAATCTAAAACTTCTAACCTAAAACGGATGACTAAAACTACATTTCTATCGGGCTTACTTTTGTTGACGAGTGTTTTCCACTTCTTTAACTAGATTTTCGCGTGCCTTGACAAAACTGTCATTAGTTGCTTTAGTTCTGTATTTATGGTTGATTTCACCCAGAAATCTTCCCCTGTTAAGTGAAAAAAGCATCCTTTAGGTGAACATTATGGATTTTATGAAGCTTCGTACAACTGATCAACCTCCTTGATAAATCTAAACAAGACAATCTCAAAACAACTGAGAATATACAATGGAGTATAAAAGCTGCAACGGTCGAATTTATAATAACAGTGTAGGCAAGCTCCGTATACTTAATAAAATATTCAAAATCAGAACCTTTAGGCAATCTCAACAAACTCACTTCAAATACAAACTAACGGTTATCAGGCTTATAAATATCAAACGAATGCAATATAATCTGTGGATAAATAAATGATAGTTAATCCCTTACCAAATTAGTACTTCATAAGTTATTTTCTCTGAAATATTTCTTTTACTGGCTTGCGTTTCGAGTGGAACACAGGGCTTTCAGCTTGGGCTTTGAACTTTCAGGAGCGATGTAGCTCTTTGTTCTTGGGCGTGAGGCTGACAAACCCACCCCTAAAATACAATCCTATCACAATTGAAACTTAAAAGCACGAGAAAAACTGACTTGTTCTACGCTGGAATCAGGAAGATTTCTAAATTCGAGGATGGATGATGCAGGTGGATAAAAGACTTCGAGAAGACAGTCAACTTAGATATCTTTCGATGAAACCTTCAGGGTTAAATTGACCATATACGGATAATCCAGAAATACCATTAGTAGACACTGAACTGTTAGTGAACACCAACCCTCCCACAAAAGAAATCTTGAAGGTCATAAAGTTACTGAAAGCCGATAAGGCGACAAGACCAAATAGAATTCTCTGGGAAGCACTGAAAAAAGATCCAAATATCTCAAAGGATGTCATCACGCCTCTTCTGCAAGTGTTGAAGCAAGAAAAGGATACCATAGGTTGAAATAAAAGTCACCTTACCAAACTACCAAAGATAGGTGACTTAGGTTTATACAAGGACTGCTGTGGAATCATGTCTCTGCCAACCGTGATTGAAATATTAGGACACATCAACCTAGGATGACTAAAAGATGCCCTGGATGTAATAATTATTAGGAAAACTAAGTCATACGTAAATCAAGTTGCAACACTCATCATTGAATAGATCCTAAATTTGGGAAATAATTTTATCCCTCAACTTCGATAAGTCCACCGCGAAGTAAGTTGGAAACTGCCTTAACACTGCGTAGTAGAGTGTGACACATTTAAAAGCTTCATTCGACCGTTATATGTTGTATGTGAAGTAATTTGCGACGGTAAGTTTCCCAAAGCGTTTGAAGTGGAGAGGAGTAATACACAGCTGGTTACTATCAGCGATGGTCTTTCTGTTTGCCGTAGACTGAATCATGCGGAGGACCGTGGAAACTGAGAAGACAGACATACGTTGTACTGGCAAAAGAACTTTAGATCTATATTTTGAAGGTGAATTATATCCAATGTCTCACAAACTCGAAGATTTACAAGTGAAATCCAACAAGTTGACTGAGGAGGCAGTGAAGACAAAACTTCAGGTGAACACAGAGACAACAGAGAGGATAGACATATCTCACCAACAACAAGCAGCATCGACAATAAGAATCTAAAGGAAATCAACTTTTTCACTTAACTGGATATAATATTTTCAACTACAAGTAGCACGGATGAGGAAGGCAAAGCCGGTTATGATCGGGAAAACAAAGCAGAAGTTTACCAGCCTAAAATCAGCGTGGAAATCTACAGCACATCGAACAACATCCGTATTTTTAAGTCAATAAAGTGCTTCTATTGCATCTTCGCCCTTGAACAGATTCTGGAATTGAGGTATACTTACTGGTATCAAATACTTGCCATATTCCTTCATCTGAAGGCGGTATTCGACTCCACCGACCCAAAAGGGTGATGCAAAAGTCTTTGGTTGTGAAAGCAATGCCGAAAAGGTTGATCATGACAATCAAGGTACTCTATTATAACTCACACAACCAGTGGTGCCTGTCATGATGTTTCCTCTCCCCATTTTTGCTTAATTTTATTATAAGTGTACTAAGGAAACTGACCCTGACTTCAGCGACTGAGAGATTGAATTGTCGCCACTACAGCCTCGTTGACTTAGAATAGGCATGCAGATGATATATCCCTTCCAGATGAAGACGCTGACAAAATAAGGTCTTCTGAACACCTTGAACAGCACTCTTCGGATGTTTGGCATGCGATTCGCTTCTGTCAAATACAAGGTGATGCTGCGGGACTGATTTCCACTGACCCACAGTTTAAAGACAGTGGAGTTGTATCAACCCTAATGAAGTGGTCACTGACGAACTCTCAGTGTCAATACACAAGGTTGATATGGAATTTGCCAACTTGTCATCCCCGACGTAGAAGTAATATCCGGTTTTCGATCATGGGATGCGTGTACCGCGCAGTAACTCGTTCCGTCCTCCATTAAGGTTGTAAGAAATGGCTATTACAAGTGGAAGTTACGAAAAGACTAATTGTCTTTGATCTTAAATGCTTGAGTTCCATTTCCTGTGGTGTAGTATAATATGAGCAATATTGAGTTTAAGCGTAGTTCCTTAGATAAGGAGGTTAAATCAATCGATCAGATTGTAAAGTTAAGTTGACTGACATGGTTAAGCCACGCGACGCACTTACCAAGCCATAGCCTTCCTCATCGAGCAATATTAGATTACATTAGATTGGGTTGGAAAAGTGTTTGTGGTTGTGACACCAAAACCTGGAATCAGTCCATGAAGATTATGACAGTTGTTTTCAGTCGTGTAGGGAGGTTTAGGCTACCTGGCTGGGGTCCTCGCGGTGCTAAGAGCCAATGGTTAGAGACTTGGCGAAATGGCTCAAATCGTTGCCAATGACACAAGATGCACTAACTTCTCGTGACCACTCATGTCCATATTAATATTCTTTTTTCCACACATCTCATTATAGAGATTTTGAATCTCTTTTTTTTGTTTCTACTTTTGCGTACTATATGGTATGGCAAACTGAACTACTGCACTTCGCTGTTAAGTTCTACGTTGAAACTCAGCCAGCAACAGCATTTCAAACAGGCTACTTTAGGCTAGCACCAACGGCTGCCTTCACTTTATACTGTAGATTAGATGACCGGCGACGAAATACTAGTACGCGACGAAGAATTCTAGCAGTAGACCAACCAATAACTCACTGGTCAACAAAACTAGTATCACCTAAAATACCGTTGTTGCAACACTAACTTGAAATTTCTCTGGCCACGTTGAAGGAATATGTATATACAGTAAAACCGACCGACAGTCTTCAGTTCATAAAACAGCCAACCTGAAGTATCTAGCACTGTAACTGCAAAAATGGACTGTGTTAGGCGAACTCGGATTTCAAAATGTTTTATAAACGCAATTATCCTTACCCTTTGCAAAATCCTACGTTACTTGTCTGTCTGTTTTCAACACAGAACTTTGCACCAACGTGCGGCAGTTCAAGTCGCCACACTCCATGTAGCACACAAATTAAGAAAAGAAGAAAGTAGAAGAAATGCATAATATAGACAGTAAACAAAGAAATAGTAACAACGAAGAACAATATAGTTTCATTGGAAATCATAAGTCACAAGGAGTGGATGCATCTGCGCCATTGACAACAATTTTGAGCCATATCACTAACTGTTTTCAACCATTGCTTTTTACTGTGCTGAGGACCCCAACCAGGAAGTCTACACCTTCCTACGTGGCTTAAACTAACTGTTGTAGATTTCACACTATTACCAGTTAAAATCAAAAAATTTAGTGACTAAGTTAGAAAGAACTTTAAAACATATAAAAATATTAACTAACACTGATTTCTCCACAGTGGCAAGTGTAAGGTACGTTGGACCATGTTCACATTCAAGTTCATATACCGCCTCAACTCCCGTAGTATTCACTACGATCTTCTACAAAATTGACATTAGGAAGAAAGACAAAAGGCCAAACTGAACTACAAAAGTGAGAAATATTAATGAAAGACAACTAAAATTCGAAGACAAATTTTTTCATAAACTAGATGGAGCCCCGAAAAACCTTACGTAAACAACATGACTACCCATACTTACCTTCACCCCATGAGCTGACAATAAGTCGACGATGTGATCCGTGTTTATCAAACGAATAGAAACACTAGAGCCTTGAAGTTTCTTAGTAACATGATGCAACCCCACTCAGGAATGAAGAGTTATATTCACTTTCGAACACGTATGCAGGACAGTCAAACCAAGTACGCCTAACAATCTACGAACTCAGGCCACATTCCTGACAGTAGGAATAGTCATTTTTGATTGGTATGCCAAAAACCCTCCGACGTCGATTCCAATCAGGAATTTAAGGCCTATTTTTTCAGTTTATTTAGAAATAATGCGATACTAAAGAAATTCACAAAAAATTGTGACAAGCACCCCAAACTAAGACTCAGTGGCGTGTTAGTCCCCGAAAGGTTTGATGGCCGTATATCCTGTGTATGTCGTTTTTCTGTTGGAGGTTTTATGCAAAAAGCGCGTCAATGTAAACGAATGTGTCTAGGTAGTTTAGACACTGCAAAAGTTCAATCCCTAGGAGAATTGCAAAGACAAGATATATCCTTGAAAAGTTTTCTGTTAACATACGATGCCTATAAACACGAAACCAAGAAATATGTGATTTCCAACGGACGAATGACAAACCAACTTAACAATAGTAATATTTCCATAAACAAAACACCAAGTGAACATACCAGATTTTGCTGCCCGTCGCAAACTAGAGTAATACTGCCTCTCTACAAAAAAATAAAATGTAACCAAGCGTTTACCTCTTCTTTAGCGGACTCCAAAGCACGAAGAAGACTTTCTGTTAGTCTCAGGTGAACAATGTCTTGATTGCATTCTTGGGAAATAGATACAGGCACCGTCATTTTTGATCGCAGCGCCTTCTTGGCAGCCGAAATTCCATCAAATTCTTAGGACGATTATTGTGTCGTAAAAACTCAAGTTCTCTGCTTACGACAGGCTAATTATGGACTTAAAGGATATTTTAGGGACTCAAGTGATTTTGGCAACATTGCAGCATGCGAACGAAGGGAAAGATTGTAGTATACTTTCACTATGTAATTGTACTTTGATTTGATTAATACTCTAAATCTTGCATGTTAACAATTGATACTTTTTGTACTCGCTCGATTTTTGAACTTTGATTGCTGCAATAATACACTATCGTATTCCTTCGCAAGTGCCTTTTGAATTACGTTGCGGATGTCGAGTAATCTCAACGTTAGGTCACAATTATAAACGCGAAGAAATACTAGAATATACGTGTACTCTAGTTCAGTCAAAATAAAGCAGCATCAACAAGATCAGCCAAAATGATCATAAGCAAAAACTCAAACCAGTCGCTGGATAAAAATGACGTCATTTCATCTAAATGATTGCTTTTTATGTCATCCTATGACTCATTTATAATCTGAACCCTGTTCCTTAACTGCCTTCATAAACAATGTCCAATAATGATTCTTGCAAAATAGGAGTTAGTCACATTGACTTGTCTTGGTCATTCACAGACCAGAGCAACATCCCTGGCCGCGTGCGAGGAACACAGGGTAGAACCTGTTGACTTCGAACAAGACATCATGGTCAACCACCTAACGAAACTAGATGATTGAAGTCAAAGTAGATAGCAAAATAGTCGGCTCTTTTACTATCACTTATTTGTAATCTACGGTGACAGTGACAACTAACTGACAATCTTAGCTACTAACATGATTATTATTTACAGCTTTTCTATATACAATATGTATTTATGACTTCGCTGTCACTACAAATACTAGATAAGAACTGTCATTAACAATCCTGTAATACTGTTGCTATAGTAGCTTCTTGTTATTTGATAAAATCAGATGCCAAACTGCACCAAGTGCTGAAAATTCCACACTGTATCATTAGTATTGTTTTGTAATAAAGCAAACTACTTTTATTATTCAACCAAGGCTTCTCAAGGAGCTATCACCTGACATAGTTGGCCTACTGTCAACGATCTTTCCCAAATGGAATGTTGTGGCGCCACTGAACAGATGCCATACTAACCCTCATCCACAAAGGAGGACTCAGGCAATGCCTCCAAACTACAGGCCTATTTGTCTCACCAGCACTTGAATCAAGATACTGGGAAGAATTATCAAGAAAGCTATCACTGCATATCTGCAAAAACTTGTCCAGAGCTCAACAAAGCTTCCGAGGATACCCCTCAGGCCTGTCACACCTTCTTATGACGAGAGGAAGCTGGACCAAGTCAAGTGACAACAGAAGGCCCGTTTACATAGTCTTCACAGACTTCATCCAAGGCTTCGATAAGGTTCTTCACAAAAGACTGCTCAAGCCGTTGGAAAGTCATGGATTCAGGGGCAGGTTACTAAACTGGATTAGGTAATTCCACTCAGGTAGGAGACAGAAGAGTATGATCAACTTGAAACTTTCTTCCTAGACAACAGTACGTAATGAAGTCACACAAGGCACGGCACTCAAGCCTCTCATATTCACTTTGTACATAAGTGAGTTATCTATGCTCACTGATTTTCCCATGGTCCTATGCGCAGATGACTTGAAAATGTGGAGAGAGCTGGATGCAACGGTGATGCGCCCACGTTGCATGTGAGAATGGTCCAAATGATGGATGCTCCCAATCGACGTAGTGGAATGCATAACCATGCACGCTGGACACTCAAGCATCGGCCCCTACGAACTATAGGGAATAAAACTCCCATCAGTTCACCTACTTATTTACATCTCTGGTGATGTCAAGACTAGAAAACTGCATCCATGCAGCCATTCCCTGTCACCTATTCTAGAAAGTGTTCTAAGCGAGGCCACACGTTTTATTCCCGGCATAACTAATTTATCATACGAAGAAAGACTAGACGGTTTAAATCTCTCCTCCCTATTATACCGTGGGCAGAGAAGATATTTAATTACAATGATTACAATTCTAAATGATGACTGAGGACCTGATCCACTTTTTCTTTTCTTTCCCACCAGGTCGGGACACCTTAGAGGAAATGGTAGGAGAGTTCAAAAGCCAGGGGGAATCTATGTTGCTGCAGAGTATTAGTTCCCACATCGAGTCATAAATATCTGGAACCGACTCGCAAAAGAAGTGGTGCCAGCTCACTCAATTGACTCATACAAGAAGTGTTTGGAAGAGCACAGAAATTTAATGGAGAAGGATTAACATAGACTTACAGCTTTCCACCCTCAATCAATAAATATGACCAGGTTTATATCAGACAGGCGAGTCCCCAATGCTTCTTTCTCGCAAAACGTGTGGTCTGTAGAGTACCTGAGTGCTAGGTCATCTAGGCCAAGGAGTCTCAACAGACTGAATACTTTACTAAATATCAACTGAGGTGCTCCAAGACAGATCCAACCACATTTGTGCACGTGGAATTGTTGGTTCCACAAAGATGACCACGCAGTCACTTTATCTAGTTCATTCTGAAAGTATTCCAGGTCATCGCGGTGGAATGTATAAGTTATTTTTGGGTCGTCTGCAAGAGTGAACCGTTTGCCATGTGAGAATGTGCCAGGTGCATATGTCATTGACATGTAGTGTAAATATGTGAGGCCTTATGAAGCTACCCTGAACAGCATCAGAATTGATTGCACTAAGCTTAGAAGTTGCAGACCCAGCGGTGACTATTTGAGACCTGCTTTTGAGAAGTGATTTAAGCCACCCTGATGGTTGGCCCTCAGGAGTTGAGCTCATGCATTAGCAGCAAATGGTCGACACTTTCAAATGCTTTAGAGATGGCAAATTATCACTAGACAAAAGAAAACCAGTCGGAGATATGAGAGTTATTTCGCCTCCGCTTCATCAAAATGACGAGA